TTTCTGTCTGTGCGCCGGTCTGTCTGTTTGGTTGTCTGTCTGTCTTTCTGTCTGTCTGTCTGTCGGTTGGTCGGGTCTGTCTGTCTCTGTCTGTCTGTTCCCTGTCTATCTAATTAGTATGTTTCTATCTCTGTCCTGGATCGATCTCCCTCAGGTTTTGCGATGAGGTTGGGCACTTGACTCCAGACTGCCCAGCTTTGCACAGTTTCTTCCTTGAAGATGCTGCACCTTCATGGTCGAGCCTGAAGCGAATGATGGGCAGTGGCATGGGCGCTGGCAGTGCTGGCGGCATCAAAGTTCCGAGAGAGTGGCTTGAGGACATTGATGTGCCCCCAGATGGGAATTGCTTGTTCAGCGCTATGTCTGTGGCTTTCAAACTCGCACGCAATGAGCGGGTTGGGGTGCAAGACCCAAAGATGCAAACCCACTGGGGCTTGCGAAATCGGCAAGAGCAAGTTGCATGGGTGAAGAAACAACTTGGTCAAAACTCGTCTTTCCCTCCTGACGATGCTGATGCCCCCTCCCTCTCCGCGGTGATCACAGCTTCCTCTGGACTCCAGCCATCCCAGTATTGTTTCTTGGCGCTGCATTTTTTCTCCCGGAATGGAAAATATTCTGCACTACACATATAAGTGCCCACTGTTTTTCCCGCACTGGTGGAAGTGTGCTAGCGAATAGCGAGTGGGGCGCTAGAGTTTGTGCTTCGGTCCGTGGTTGCTTGAGGGAAGTTGTATTGACTTGGACCTGTCATGGGTTAAATGTTATTGCAGCGACGTGATGCGAAGATCAGCCCTTTCCTGATTGAGTTTTCATTCTATAATTGCCATGCTGGGACCTTATGAACATCCTCCCAAGCCTTGACTTTAGGATGTACAGGAGCCCAGCTCACAGTCATGTGGTCTGCGCGGATGAACCTCCATGGTCTTGGTAGTTTGCGATGAAAACCACCGGGGCATCCAAAAACATGGAAAACAAAGCTTGGGCCTGCCAAGGTGAGATCATGGCGACATTTGGTTCTCACAGAAGGCAGTGGGGTGGTTTCTTTGAGATTGCCGTCATGTCGCAGAGGTGGCGGTACAGGACGCACATCCTGCGAGAAGTGGCCCAGGAGTTGCAATATGTTTGCTCCATTGGCCGAGAGCACCGAAAAGAAATTTCGGTGGTGTGGACGGGGAGCCACTACAGAGCTCTTCGCATCCTCAAACAGGATGACTTTCTGAAGCTGTGTGGTGTGAAGTGAAAAGGGAGTTCTCTTGTCTTGTGCCGTTTTTTCCCGTTCTTTGGCGGGGTGCTCAGTGGATCCACCCCACCCCCTTTAGTCCTCACCCCCAGTACTTTTCTCTAGCCTAGAGCCGTGCTGCGAATCGGTCATTCGGCTCCCCCACGTATCATGGTGGGCGGCTAGCTCAAGGAGCTAGCTGGAGTTGTCTAGTTGTCTCATTGCAAGAATTGTTCAAAAGAAACAGCCGGACACAAGACCTGAATAGCAGAGTTAAGCCCCAAAGTTCTCCATGTCCCAAGGTAAATCTCGTGGTAAATCATGGTAAATATTTTAATGTGAATATGCAGAGAGAATTTCTAGACAGAATCTTGTTACCGTTCGAGGCAACAACGAGTGTGCAAACCTGGCGACAGGCCACGTTCGAGAGTTTCACATTCCGGAATTAGCGTTGAACAGCCTCGGCAACAACAGCAGCAGCAGTTTATATACATCTTTACATCTCTATCTCCATGATTTTTATCATACCTGAGCGCTAGCACTTGCTGAGTCAAAAGTGTGCACTCCGTCAGTTAAACCTTGCAGCGCTGATGTTTCACTTGTGAACGCTGATGAGCCATACGAAAACACGTTCCTCGATTTGCAGAGCCTTCCTATGCCCTATGCCGCTATGCCTGCTCTTTTGCCACACCCAGCTCTATTCCTGCAGTCGCATCATGGTGGGGACTGGCAGTCACACCATCGTCTGGGTTTGCTCCTTCCTTCAACTTCGGCCAGACGAGCAAAATGACTCATGTCTATGGCATCAAATGGGGTGCTTGCTCGCGGACATCACCTACCCAGTGTTCGCCCCGTTGTCACTTCCCTTCGGAAGGCAGAGCAAGAAACATATTTTAAACAAAGTGTTTCGCACTGATGCAAAGTGGGGAACTGCATGCAGCTTTCAGTCTTCGACGCGCTTCAAATACTCGTCCTGACTGCCAAATGTACCAAATCATGTTGATATTTCAAAGCGCAACCACCAAGAACCACAGCAATGTCATGTGGCCTATCACACAAATGCTCCGATTTTTCTTCCAAGCAGTTGCTTTTCATCCTGCTCCAGCTGATATCACAAATTTTCAGAAGCAACATGACATGCAATTGCCCACAACAAATCATTTATATACAGTAATGCAATCTCCTTGTCGCGTGTTGCATTGTGCTATGTAAATTTGAATTCGAATAATGTGCCTTTGTCTCACAGGGGGACTTCGCCGGTACAGGGGACCAGATCACTGGGGTTGTCTCGATACATTCTCTTCGCCACTCACCCAAAGCCAAGGGGATCCAAGAAACGCCCCGGGAGTCGCCGCGGTTTCAGAGGTACGCCCCTTTGACCTGCGCCCGAACCGCACCACCGTACTACTTGCAAATCGCACGGTTCACAAGCAGTAACAACCTAACAACCTAGCACTTCACTAATCAGCACCACATCACCAGCCATTAGGATTGGGCTGCTGGATTTCAGGTTTGCGTGTGAACACAGCAACTGACAAAATTAATTCCTCAAGACGATCTCTCAGAGGATTCAGAGGTAAGATAGTAGGAAAAGCGACCGGACCCACATGCCGCAGCTCGGATCCACATTTCGGGTGACACCGGTTGGTTCGGCACGGCACTTTGAGGGTTGATGCGTTGGCTTTGTTTGAGGAGCACTGCACTCCACAGAGTCCCAGAACACTCGCTTGTCACTAAATTATCACACAGTAACCTTTCCATACCTGTGCAATAAGGATGCTGCCTTTCTCCGAACGGTCGACGCTTGCCGAGCAAAGCTGCGCCAGCTCCGAGCAAGCTTCCTGGCAGGGTGTCATTGAAGGGTTTGGCAAAACCAGGGACCCCAATTCTTGAAATCAGATGAAACTAGGTAGACAGGTAGACTCTTTGTGACGGTGGTACCATTTGGTTTGAAGGGTGCACATGCCTGGAATGACTCGCTTTCGTTCTGGCAATCAATCTTGCTTGCCACTGGAATGGCAGGAGGGAGATACCATGATACGCAGGAGTTTATGTTTAATAGCTGTTGGCTCTGTCAGAAAGAAAGGCATGGCCCAAGTAGTAGCTGATCCAAACGGTCGGTTAACCCAGAAGGCAGGGGCACGGTAGATGACCATTGCCCATTTGTGCATCCCATTCCAGATGTCGTTTTGAAAGGATAATCCTGTTCCAGGGTTGTCCACGGAAGTTTGCCTGTGGCAAGCTTGGGCAGCACACCTGCTTGCACTGGGCCAAGGTCAGTCTGAGGTGCTTGAGATTTGGCGCAGCTTCAATGAGGACGAAAAGATTGGTTCCTCTGACAGGGATACAAAAGCTATGATTGCTTTGGTCAATATGATTCGCGAGTGTGATTTGCTTCTGAGTTTGAATGGACAAGATTTGCCCAGATGTTTATTTTGAGTGATTGTTCAGCACCATCACCCTTCTTTGCTACCCATACCTTCCAAGGATGCTTCCAGAGTGCTTCATTAAGACTTACAGAGAGGCAGCCTTCCCAGAGGCAGGTTATCACGAAGGCATGTCAGATGAAGAGGTCTACGAGCGCTTTTGGCAGATGCGGACAGGTGTTCGTAGTGTATCACAACTCCCACATGTTTACATGGATGGCCCAGCCCTGATGGCCGTGTTGGCGAAATGGAGGCCTCCTCATGCCAGTGTTCTTTGCTTGACTTGCCCTCAGAAAAAGATCGGTGAAGTCTACAAGATGGGTTATCATGTTCAAATGACCGAGCAGAAATTCCCGTCCCATCTCATCACGCTGGTTCACACCGTTCCAGATGCCGCAGGCAGGTAAGGGCTAAAGGCTTTGTAGACTGCAAAGCAGAATCCCACAAAGAAAAACATGTTCATAGCAGTTGACGCACCATCTCGCTCTGAAGGGAAGCTTGTGTGACGTTTTTTTTTTGCGCAGGGAAGCTCGTGATCCACCGCGGACTGGACGAAGAGCCAAGAGTTTATGAAGGCCCTTTTGAAGGAAGTCCGATGGCCAGGTTCATTGTCCAAGAAGCATTGCCTTTCTTTGGCGTGCTCCATGAGGCCAACCGCATACACTACTCCTTAAGGGCCACCGGCTGTGGTTTGTTCACCATTTGGCTGGGACATGGTGACATCAGTGAAGAGATCAAGACCTTTGCAAAGGATTTGCAAGAGCTCCCTCGCAAGACCGATATCCCTTGCTGTTTCTTAAACTCCGAGGCCCTCTCGAAAGAGCCCTTAGGCCGCTTTTTCCATGACCTTGAGCTGGAAGTAGAACCAGTGGCCATGCTCTTTCTAGGTGACTTTGCTTCAAGTCCCCACAAAGTAGACCACCTCAAGCGTTTCATGTGGTCTTTGAAGTCGACGGATCAACCTGCTGACCTTCTGGCGTTCATTGAAGCTGCTCGGAGGGGTGAGATTGAAGGTGAGGAGATCCAGGCTGCGAAGCCCCTGTTGAAAGCAACATATTTGGCTCCTCCAGATCTTCATTCCAGTTGCAGATGACGAGCCCATCACGAGCCCAAAGGGCCTCACATTTCGGCCAATGATCTCGGTCTCCCATGCCCAAAGGGCTGAAAAAGGAGGATCCGGGTGACTCCATGCGCAACTGCACACCTGGAAAATCTGGAGGCGGTGGTGAGCCAGGTTCGGCAATATTGTAGTCATTCAGAGCTTGTTCATACTTCGTACATCTTCGTACGTCATGATCCGTAGAAGAGCTTCGTTGTCATGATCCGGCAGCTTCGTACTGCTGTTGCTTGCTCAGATGGGCCGCTGCTCCATTGCACGCCAAAAGAACGCGAGATGCTTGAGCAGCTCGCTGACACACCAGGACAGCCGGGCACGCGTTGCGTGCCCAAACACTGCGTGGGCGTGCGTAGGCTTGCAGACTGCCTAGGTTTTTCACGATATTTTTGTATATTTTGGCATGCTTTAAACACACACTTCATGTCGCGAGGATGCTTCTGTGCGCTTGGCAGCCGCGCAGGTGGACGATTTGTGGACCATTGCAAGCAATGAAGACCATCTCCACCGTTTCCAGTCCAGCCCAGTGTTTTCCTTTGTTTTCAGGCATTTTGCCTTTTCTTACAGCTTCATATGGCAAGAGATGGCAAGAGGATGTTGCAAGGATTGACAACCGAATCTGCACACATTTGCACAATCCATACTTTAAAACGCTTTAAAACACTTTAAGATCTTTAAGGTTTTTTGATGCGCTTTCTTTCGTGGAGGCTTGCGGGGAGCTCGGCAGCGACTGCGGCCAGGCACAGGTAGTAGTTGTCAAAGACCTTGCAGAACGCGTACTCCAAGTGAATTGGAGAGAAGGAATCCTGTACGGCCCAGGGGAGCTGAATGAGTTGAGACGTAATAAAGACTTTTGTCCAGTGGCTCAATCTATCAAGATGCACGGTCCGCCCGAAGAGGCCGGCACGGTCCCACTGTCAGGAACATTTGAGTGCCCTTTCCATGCGAACGACTGATCCACAGGCACAGGGCGCCGCGATGCGCCGCGATGCGCCGCGATGCGCCGCGATGCGCCGCGATGCACCTCGCGCGAAGCGGTCCGAGTTGAGCTTGCGCTGCACAAGATCCAAGAAAGGAACGTTTGTTCGACCATGTTCAAAAGGATGTCAGCATGATCACAGATGTCTCATCTATTGGATTCGCTGCAATGTTGCCATTTGCTGAGCTCAGCATTCAGAATGAAGAAAAGAGTAGCTTTTGCCGAACTTTCTTGAAGAATCTTGAGCTATCCTGTGTCCATCAGTAGCGTCTCAGTAGCTAGGAGCGCAAGTCCCTTTCTTAATTGCATTTAATTACTGTAAGTAGGCACCTACTCAGTTCAGTAAGGAGAAACCAACAATTTGTTTTCTTTCAGGCCAAAGTGCGGCGTGCTGCGATACAGGCCCTTGGCCGGATTGGTCCTGCAGGCTGGGCACCGTCCTACCCGTTCGTTGCCTTCGGAAGCGTCTCGTCGAAACGAGACGAGCCTTGAAACTTTCGACATCGAAGGCGTCGAAAGACACGGCCGGTTTGGGAAGGTGCTGTGGAGATACCAGCCTTTTTCAGAGACCAGGAGAGGACGAGCTGATTCATGGACTGCATGTGTACCTGTTGGTACTAGGTACCTTGCTGATCCCACGAGGTGGGAGGAGGAAGGATCCAAAAAGACAACATCTTTTCGAATATGTTGGGAAGATGTGCGATGTGACAATGTTTGTGGGGCGGTGAACTGTCATACAGTGATGTGATGTAGCGACTGCTATAGACATCCATCCCTGCTTTTCTAGACCATTCATCACCATTCTCCAGAACACCTATATACTCTTCTACCTCTTTCTTTTGGCCGTATTGTTTTTTTCTTCCCTTTCTGCTTTTCTGTATTCTACATTTCCATAGAGGTCTCGCCCTTTTCCCCACCACTGTACTTCACTGTAGCATTCTCTATATTAAAACTTTCGTAGATGTTCCCATATCTCCTCAGCGCCAAGCTCACGCAGCCACCACGGTGTGCGTTTTGATGGTTGCAAGCTCGAATGGAACTGAGCCAGCATCAAGCTTCACTTATCACTCTTGCCGCACCTGCGGCACATGATTTTCAACCTGCACTTCAATAGGGTAACTTTTGCACCCTTCACTTTGAGGTTCCTTACTATGGGGATTGATACTGTTTCCTTACCAAGCATCACTGCATCACCAAACTTCCTCACTGATGACTGACACTGTTTTGCCACACTTGGTGCGCAGGACGATGGCATTCGCCACTTTGCTGCAGAAACACTGGGTGCTGCCGGCGATGAGGCAATGGGATCGAACAAGGAAAAATAGCAGGACATTCAGAATCACGAAGGTAGCATCAGCTACCTGAGTTCATTGAGTCATGCCTTTACACAATTGCAGGCTTACTTGAGTGGAGAAATATACCGGCAAGGTTCTATCATTCTTTGGGCATCGGTGGACATCGCAGGGGAGTTTGGGTGTCTTTTGGAAACTCGGGCAAGCATTCTTAGAAGTGCACATTCTTTGCAGAATTTCCGTGTGAAGCCCCACTGCTTTAATGGAGGATCCATCTTTGCATCGTCTTTTCAAGCTCTACCCTGATAGCAAGAAGACATAAATAGACCACTTGTATTTCTCCAAATTGCCGTCGGTATTCTTGTCCATTAAAGCGTCTCCAGGCTGCTGCTGCCGTCTGTGCCGAGCAGCTGAAGACGGCTGGACCTGATGTGAAGCGATCAGCCTTGTTGGTGAGGATTCCCAGAAGCCTTGTTGGCAGATCTCGGTATCACCGCACCACTGGGATTCATCGATCTTCTCACGACCATTTAGGAGCCAGCCCATGGCTGCCGACCGTGAACCAAACGAGAAACCGCCGCCATTGCGTGCCCATTTGTGCCCGGACAGTTGCCGCCGGGATGCGTCGCGCAGATTTGTGGTGAACGATGTTTGATGTTTGTGTGAAATCTGTGCTTCACACCAGTGCCACAGCACATGCTGGGCAAAGGCACTGGGTCGCATGAAACTTGTGGCCTGGGCGCCTCAGGCCGGAAGTGGGTGATTGATTAGAGTCATTCTATAGAGTATGTCCCTCCAAGAGGTCCAACATCGTCTAACATCCATCTATAGAACAGCAATTGTATCCACTGTATCCACTTAGCACCTCTTCAAAGGTTCAAGTGTGCATCAACAAAGGCTGTATGTCTTAGCCTGCTGGACATGGGGGTGGATGATGGTTGCGCGGCTGCGGGCGCAGGTCGCTGGCTGTTTGCACGACAGCGATCTTGCAACACGCTTGGCAGCCATTCAGGCCAGCCGGGGCGACGGGGCATTCGACCAGCGACGAAGTAGAAACTCGTCCTGTTTGGATGATTTTGCCTCGAGGTGTGACCTTTTTGTTCCACGTTCTTTTGTGTCGATGGAGATGCCGGGAGGCCGGGAGGCCACGTTCAGGCCTTAAGCGACCTGAAAGCAGAGGAGCATGCCGAGGAACTCGAGGTGCAATCCGAGGAGCTGAAAATGCAGAGGGACGAGAAGCACTGCTGTGCTCAACCTTTTAGAATCTTGAACCAAAAAGCCGGAGCTTATAGCAACTCGTTGAACCTTGCTCCTAGTAGCGATGCCAGGAGCCCCTAGTAGCGTTCTTGTTACTAAGGCCAGGAGCCCCTAGTAGCGTCCTTGCTCCTAGTAGCAACATATCTTGGATGAATACTTACAGTATATATGTCAACAATTGTCAACATATCTCAACTCACCTCCGTGAAAGCTTTTTCCAGGCATTGGCAGTGGATGGAAACAAGGGTGTGCGCCAGGCAGGGGGTCTTGTATGGTCTTGTGCTGTCTAAGCCTAGTTCACGACTCTTGGAGCTTGCTTCCTTTGAACGTCCTGGGTGGTGCATGATGGATTCGGATGCATTGTGCAGATTGTGACAGGCTGCCGTTGCAGCCCTGGCAAAGATGGGTAGTTCTGGAGCACGTTGGGCTACCAGCTTTTTGGAGGATGAGGTGTAAAGACATTGTACTCTTTGATTGGTCACTTCATATATTATATATATAATAGTATATATAAATTTGATTCAATTTGTACAACTTTCTAACAGCAAAACACATGTCAAGACTCCTTCCTGCCTCAAGAGTTACTGAAGCAAGGGTTGCTTGGTGTCTTCCCGGAGGATCCAGCGGTTCGACAATCCGCAGTGCGAGCGGGATCCTGAACTGCCGGCCGCTGTATGACTAGTTGTTAGATGATGTTAGACGTTCTAGAATGGTTTGTTTCGCAGGAACATGAATTGTACGGCCGTACGGCAAGACCTTTGCAGAAACCTGGGAGGATGATTGCTTTCCAAGATTTGATCCGCTGCTCACATTGCTGGATGAATGATTCGCAACATCCTTTTTGAGGTCTACAGCCCCCTGCACTCCAAGTTGAAGGCTTCTTTGGCCTGAGCCTTGAGCAGTGGAGATGGTGGGTGTATCGGCAGGCCAGATCATCAATCCATTGTATTTCTGTCTTTTTGTTTCATGGAATACTTCTATTGAATGTCCTAGATGTTTAAACCTATTATATAGGTGGTCTAATAGTCTGTTAGGATTCTTCTATGAATTGCAATTATTTTGTGTGCTTCTTACACTTCAGCTTCGGCCATGTTCCTCTGGACGTGTAGCAAAACATGATGCTTTTTAACGTGGTATATCATTTGGTAGTCAAATTCCTGTTCCCTTTCCACGCTTTCACTTATTGGAACAGGATTTTATTGCTGGGGTTCAACCTTCATTTATACTATATATAATCGTTATTTGCTCTTTCTCGTCAATAATTGTCAATCAATAAAGGGGCATAGCATGAAAAAACACATCCATTGATAAGATTGTAAAACAAATAAAAAACAGACACCCAAAAAACACATACAATTTTAGAGCTGGCAGGTCTATCATTTCCTAGGCTTTTTCATATCTTTGTTTCCCGAATCCATGGAACAAAAAACAATCCTGCGGCAGGCCCGCCGGCTTTCCTCGGTCTTTCGGGGCACAATTTTCTCGGCGTCCGGAGAGAGACCGAGCGAGGCAAAACCATACGCGGAGATGGTGGCTCGACGGTTGTTGGACGAGGCGCGTATGTCTTTACTTCTTATTCTTGTGTGATCAAGCTTGTACTGGAAGTTCCTGGCTTTTTACTTCCAGTCCTGCAATGTAGTCACATTATACTTGTAGATCTTGAAACCGCACAAACCCAAGGACTGGCGGGTGCGCTTGGCGGCCGTGGTGGCCCTGGGCGATCTGGATGCCCAGAGCTACGTGGAGCAGCTTGGGGCCTTGAAAGGCGATCCAGACAACCAGGTGCGGCGAAGTGTCCGGGGACCTAGATTTGAGTCATCCTAAGACACGAAAAAACAATGAAAACATAGAAACACGGTGTTTGGCACCTTTGACCCGTGTTTCAGCCGTGTTTCACCCGTGTCAACTCTGTGTTCCCATGGGCGCATGGTTCGTCAGACTTGAAATGTTCCTTTTTCAATGCCAAAATACACCAGTATTGGTGAGGGCAGCCTTCACGGCAAGTGCTTTGGAGATTTAGCCCCAAAGTGCTTCATGAAAGTTTGCAGAGCATTGGCTCAAGTTGAACGATTTGCTTCCACCACCACACAAAAATCCACTAGCTCGGTAGCAGAGATCAACTTCCCTCCACACATTCATCAGCGCAATTCACTTTGAAGCTGCTGTTTTAGTGCAAGCAAAACCAAAGAAACTTCCTCTGCCGCGATTTAACTAGCACGACTGCCGGAAATGAGTTCCTCAATCGCAGCTTCGGAGTTCCCGTGTCGCATTTCACATTGGGAGATCAACAGATCAGCGTTTCAACAGATTCGAGCTTCCCTGGAAGAATTAGGTCCCTACGTGTGGGTCCTTTCATTGATTACTGTAGCCCCAAGAAGAAGACTGGACGACAGTGGACGCGGCGAACATGGAAGAAGCCAGCTGGGTTGAATCTCTTGGCTTCCTCAAGGATGGCGAGAACAGACGATGTACCCTGACAACTGTGCACGCATGAGGGCGCAAGTTGAGAAACTTGGTGAAGAGCATGCAAAAAACAAAGTTAAACTTACAACAGATTACAAGTAGTAAGAAACTACTAGTAGCAAAGGGCATTACTACTAGTAACAAGAAGCTACAACAGGAATTGGGAACAAAGAGCATAATAAAACAACAAGAACATCGCCGGGTTTGAAGCATCGGTCGCAGGACTTCGAGGTGCGCCGTCGTGCGGCCTTTGGGGAGTGGCTCGAAGGCTTCAAAGCACGCCTGGCCACGGAGCGGCGCAAGGCCACCTCCTCGCAGCTCTTGGTGGCACAGGAGCGGAGTAAGTAGACCAGAGCCCTCCAAATGCGTTTGATGAGCGCAGGGGAGGAACATGACTGAAGTAAGACAGGAGTTTCTTGGATGTTTTCTGGGTGTTTTCAAGTGCGTGCGTGTTCAGATGAGCGGGGTTGTAAAGTTGCGACAAATATATTTGTATATAGCTTAGCTTAGCATTGGACTTGTAGATTTTAAACTTACTTGTATGCTCTCTTACGTAGCTTTTCTGAGTGAGTTTCTTTTTCTTTTTCGAGGTTCTTTGCACGTCTTGCGACTTCATGTGGCAGTCGATTTTGTTATCCGAAGGCAGTGATCATGGTTCTGGTGCTGTTTTCTTTGGGACGGTTGTGGTTTGAAGATGCTTTCTGGGTGATGGCAGGTGAAGGCCCAAATCCGAGAGCGTGCTGAGTTGGACGAGGACCGTTCGAAAACGTGGAGCGGAGTGAACGTCTTGGAGAGGTCATCCCAACATGGTAATGGAGAGGCCTTAGAAAGAGATTATCTGATTATCTGCTTCATTCCGCTTCATTTGTTTTCCCTACTGCCAAATCTTACCACTCTGGTGGATTCGGTGGCAGGATTGAGCTTTGAAAGGATTGAGCTTCAATTTCAATCGAATTTCCCAAGACAAACGCATCAGTGCCTGAAGGATGTCAGCAAACGCATCAGCAAGTTCGCTGCACGGGAGCTTTCTCGTACAGAAGACTGGTGTACAGAAGATCGTGCAGATGCTGACTTCTTGTCCTCGGTGCAGCTTGAATGTGCCAAGCAACTGGCTGAAGCTAGTAGTTCCTTTCGGGTCCTGTTGGAGAACAGCGAGAACTTCAAGGACATGGACACCTGGCAACAATTTTGCAGAACAAAAGGTCACGCCCCTCTCCGCATGAACATGTCAGCGTTGCGCCAAGGAAACCTTGAGCAGGGACGGCTTCAAAACCATCGCTCTCGCGGAGCAAACAGTCAGAGATGCAGAGGCCAAGCACACAGACTGCATTGCAGCTTGGGGAAAGCATGAATCGCTGTGCCGGCAGCAGTTTGCCAAGATTTGCTTAGAATCCTTTCACTTTTCTGCACCTTTGGCCTGATGTCGGTTGTGGATGGTCTCTCTTAAACCTTGAATGCCCCACAGCTCATGGTTCAAAACAGGAAAAGAAACGAACGCATGATGATCATGTAAGAAAACATGACTTCTCTTTGGATCGGCGACGCCTCTTTTTCAGGTTGGGCTCCAGAGACCTGACCGGACTCTGGAAATCGGAAGCATCGTACCGGAAGAGCGTGGCCAAGTTTGCGGATGCCGCAGATGCCGCGCACCAGAAGGCCGCAGGCTTGGCGCGACAACTGAGAGAGGAGGCCGAACGATTCCGGGCTCTCACCAAGAGTGTGTTGTCCGATGTGGCTGCTTGCACCGCGGCCAGCTACAACACACTGGCCAGAACGGCCAACGAGGCCAGCCCGTATCGGCAGCAAGCGATGGAGACGCGGGTGCCGTCAATCCCGCATTGGCAGCGCCCAGTTCCGCCAGCATCAGCACTGACTTTGAGAGAATGCCCTGCCGAAAGACAGGCAGGGCTTCTGCGACATTGGCAGAGCTGCCACTTGCTTTTGACCAAAGAAGGCTCTGTGCATTGTTATGATGGTGCTGATACTGCAAGGACTTCTCCTGTTTGGTCAGGGCGACGCTTGGATCTGCAGCTGATAGTAGTTCCGATCATTCAATTATGCTTATAAGCTGCTTATATAGCGATCTCCGAAGGAGGTCAGCTGAAGTTTCAGTTTACGATTAGATGGGTTAAAATCGAAGGGATCAATTGAAAAATCACTACAAGCGGCATCACAATAAAGGGTGACGCTGTCACAAACATCATCCCCAGGGGATTTTTTAGTATTTTTAAGGTGTTCTCACATTCGTCGTTGTCATCGCTTTCGTTCCCGCCTCTCAAGTTACATACATTTGTGATCACTTGCGAAGCATGCAGCCCAACGAACCCTGTGTGTGGTTCTCCCAGGACCCAGCCATGAAGGTGGGTCTTTGTCAGTAGACCCAGCTGCTCAGACACTGACCCTCTATCCTGCACGAGAGTGGTTGAAACAGCGCTGGAGCCTCACAGTTCGGCTCCCCAGCGAGGAGCAGGGTTCGCCGCGGCGAAGTCAACAGGTCGTGTCAAGCTCAGAACTTGTTGGTCGACTAATTTGATCGATGTCGAGCAACTCAATTTTTAAGACAGCTAAGCTTGAAGTTCAGCGGAATCCATGCGTCCCCCAAAACGGCCTCCGAATCGAGCTTTGCTCGAACCATTTCGTGAGGAGCTCTGCGAATGGGAGAAGCTCCTTGCAGCCTGGTGGCCTTCGGGTGACCCCGAAGAGCCGATGCTCGGAGGCACAAAGTGGACCCCATCGGGGCTAGCTGTTCATCTGAATATCTTCAGCTCAGTGAACATTTGATGGACATGTATATGAACATTTGGGTCAGTTGCAAGGTAAGTACATTGTTCAATGGAGCATAATAGAGCTATGAGATGAGCTCAGTACTGGGAGATGAGAGTACATGTAAGCTCAGCTCGTCTTTTTTATCCAACTGAGACCGGTGGACGCGCAGCACTTCTCGGATTCGCTTCCACCGGCGGAGTCGCCCACAGCAGATCCGGAGCTTCCGGATCCGACGGAGCCAACGGAGCCGGAGCTTCCAGGTGAAGGTGGTGAAGGTGTCGCTGGTTGCGGTTTGGAGCGGGACTGTTGCTGTTGGATTCTGGGAGCTTCTGAGATACATACATTATACACACATTACATACTCGTACTATCTCGTACTTGCTTGCACATGAGGGTCCGCGAGTCCAAGACAATGGAGTTGTCTTGGAGTTGGTTCAATGTGATGGTTGTTTGCATCAAATCCGTATACTTATATGTATTTATATGTTTTTTTGAAATCACGTTTCTTCTACACATTCCGATATATGATATATATATATAATTTATACTCTTACCATCGTGAAGCTATGCTATTCTCTAGATGCATCAAAAAAGAAGGTACCAGATACTGGGCAAGGAGGGCACCTCCGCTGGAGTCAGGGTCTCTATAGGTGTTATGCCAGGGTCACTTCCGCCCACCGTCTCCTCCCGCATCCTCTCCTCCTGCTCCTCCTCCTTCTTCTGCTCCTTCTCCTCCTCCTCCTCCTCCTCTGGCTGCTAGGGTCTGACTGCGGAATAGCGTGCTCCGGGCTCCGGGCGGGCTTGTATGGTGCACGCTTGACTCTTACCGGTTCGGGCGGCAGAGCAGTGCACTGGTCTTTTCGGAAGAAGCTTCTGAAGGTGACGGAACACCTGTCATAACACATACCAGAGCAAATGTCTGAACATACGTCAGAACACATGCCGCAAGGACTGGCAGGTTTGATGACAGAAAAAGTGTCAGGATACATGACAGAAGAGCAAATGTAGAGACTTATAGAGACACATATCAGAACATATGCCAGAAGATATGTCAGAACAAATTTTCTGACTTGACGGACGGCAGGACACATGTCACAACACTTGTCAGAAAGGATGAAAGAACACACTCCAGAACACTGTCGGACCTTTATGCGGATGTGTCAAAACACCTACCAGACCTGATGCTAGGAAACAACGTCAGAACATGTCAGGACATTGTGACAGTGTGTGCCTTCTTCCAAGTCGCCCTTCAAAGCGGAAAAACACACGCAGGGCGTATACTTCTGCATCTTGCAGGTGTCAACGAGGCTCCAGAGGCGACCCCAAGTGAACAGGAGGGCCATCCATTTACCTGAATCTCCGAGAGCGAGAATGAAAAGAGATTCTGGTCACGGAGCATTCTGCGGCTTGCTGGCTTTTCATGCGTTCTTCGGACGAAGTGGTTGGTCCAGAGTCGAGCCTGTGAGTGTTCCTAGGCTCTTGCAGCTCTCGAAAAATTGGGTGCGGCTCTTGATCTTGGAAGGAAAGATAAGAGATAGAGCCTATATCTATATAGGATGGAGCCTATATCAAAACGTTATATATATATACAGATAAAATATCCTTTGATCATTTTCAAGTGTCGAAGGAGGAATTTCACAATTCGGTGTTCACCTAAAAACATCATTCGGAACCCAAGGTGCACTACCCGCCTTGGCCGCTGGCTTTCTGGGGGATGACGACCCAACTGTCCGCCTGACGGCCTGGATGAGAATGTTAGAACGTAGGAATCTTCTGGGCAGAATCTTTTGAAATGGTTGCATGATCCCAGCTGGGCAGAGATGTCAAAAGGTTTCCAGAGTGTGACTATGTCTGATGTGATAAACTCACGCTGGGTCTTACGTTGTAAGATGACCCGGCACGAGCAACATCGTCATGGTCCCTCGGTCGTCCAAGGCAAAGATGCCGAGAAGGTGTACCATGCACCAAGCTGAGAGTGTCATGTGCACTTGGCAGGACCAGGAAACCGGTTTGCCTCCACTCCACCATCCCAAGACTCGAGAAGGTTGCTGAGACTGTGAAGACCACAATTTCATGTACAAACAGGTGATCTCCAAAAAAAGATGTGCACGTTCTGAAAAATGGTCATACCAAAAGATTCTTTTTGAATTGTGAGAGTGCAGTCTGGGTATACGGCAGATTTGTGAAACCCGACACCTGGTAAAGTGAGGCGTTGGGAGGTGGCCAAGATCAGGATGAGGAGTTGTCGGAGGTTTGGAACTGCGGCAACTAATGTATGGCTGCGGGGAAGGCCATTTGGTCTACCTAGTCTCAACATGCCTTACTCGTAATTCTTTGCCTTCACAAGGATGCCAAATGATGCACATTCTGGATTCATTCTGCAGTGTTGCTGATGTATCTTTCGATGTCCTCAAGATATGATCATCCGATGCACTGTGCAAAGGCTGACTGAGAAGCACAAGCTGAACCAGCTGAAGACTCAAGTGACTCATTTTTCGGCAGCCCATGACGTTCGGATCTTCCGGTCAGTCAGGCTTGCCACATTGCTTTTATGTTGCCAGATGTTGCCAGCAATGACTAGGGCAAGGAACCCTGGTTGAGTACCTGCGACCAGCGAGCTGTGCATACCATACCTGCCCGAATGAAAGCCGAGCTGACCCCGAGTCCACGTGTTGTTTGTTTTGTGAGCCCCTGACATATTTTTGTATAATATACCCTGACAATCGACCAACATTGGGAAGCCTAGCACGGCAACATCCACCTTGAACCTTCCCTGAATGGAGAATTGTGCGGTTGCAGATTCTCACGAAGACCATGATACTCGTATGTGTTCCGCAAAGACATACATGCATCATGCTGCACCGCAAGGGAAATGGTTCCTTCACTTCTTGCTGGACAAAAGTAAATGTGCACGCAACACAAAATTGACTCCATTGTGTAGCCGCGTGGCCTTGGCTCAAAGACATCCTTCAGATTGGCCATAAACACTTAAAACCGCTGCAGACGCTTCGAATATGCCTTTGCAGAAGTAACGGAACAGGCGACTAGATCACAGGACACTTCAAAGGCAAAAGGAGTTGCGAACGCCAAATAGTCTTGAACGAGATCAACATGTCGCCGCTGCCCTACGATGAATAAGCATGTTACACGTTTGAAGATCTCCACATTGCTTTGCTAGGATTGAACCCTGGCAGCATGGCGGCCATGGCAGTGAGGCGACAGATCTGAGGAAAAGGGTCAATACCGGGCCCCATCGCCCGCCCGCCTCCAGGACAGTTATAGATGGACTTTCAACTTTTGTATATAACTTTGTGCAGCCCTCGCAACAACAGTTGTACTAGCCTTACGAATTCATCAAACCAAACGTAATTAGATGCAGCTTGTCTTGATCCATAGGAATTGCAAGCTGTTTGACAAGTGGATGGCAAAAATTGCAGACTGCATTTCTGCATTTCCAGTTGCACCAAAGCGAACACTGATTGGACAGCCAGGACCTGTCAAGATGACAGAGCGCCTTTTGACTGGGGCGGCCATGCTTGGGTGCGCTCTACTGTTTGTTTGTCATGGCATTGGTACGATGGCATGGCATTGGAGTCCAGCACAGCGAGCTTGGAATACTTGAACTTGCACTCTATTTAGCAAAGAATTTGCGCACTCTGGGCCATTTTCAGTGCCCAACTGCCGTCCTCGTTGTCCCACAGTTGGGCTCAAGAACTTGGACCTTGAAACCAGGCCAAGCCGACGCCATGGATGCTCGGGTGGCGGATTTTCTGGGAGATTTGTTTGGATCATGGGGATTCAACCAGGCCTTTTGCAGGCGGCAAACAAACGGACCGCGTCAAGAGGATTTGGACGGATTTGGGGTTGTCCTTGCCTTTTCGGCTGGGATGCGGTTTGCATGCAGCCATAGTGGTTTGGCATACGGCCGCTCGAAAAAGACAGCCCTTGCAGGAACTGGCTTCACATGAACATCGAAGATGATGAAATGCGAGACATTCCCAATCCTTGGAATGCACCTGGGAGCGTGAAGTGATACGGTCGAAACATCGGGTACGACCTGTACACCGTAGGTAGAGGACACGGATGTGGATCGAGGCACTGAGTTTTGCAGAAAGCGAGTAGGGTTAAATGTTAAGAGGTCCTTGCTGGTAGTAGCGATTCCCTTTGTTCCTAGTAGTAAGGCCAGGAGCGCCCCTAGTAGCGTCCTTGCTCGTAGAAATGCCCTTAGCTACGACCAGCTGTACAGCTGGGTGGGCATATCTTCGCACAGCTTTTCAGCGAGGAAATGCAGCTGCACATCAGCTACAAGTTCGCAGAGGTGCTCAAGGGCTTTTGGCTTGAGCATCCAATTCACACATAAAAGGACCGAGAAACCAACATTTTCAAGAGTGCCCTTCACAGCTTGATCGGCCAAACCTGCCAAACACAGCCTAGCAGATATTGAAGCACAGCCCGTTGAACGGCAGAGGCATTTTCCCTTCTTGGGCTTGGAGCAGGCTGGGAACACATCCAAACAGGTTTTGTCTTCTCTCTTATGCAGTCCTTTGAGAGGAACCGCAGCAAAGAGCTGATGTGCTTCACATCTTCACATCTTCAGGCCTTGTGCTGGCTCGCAAGCCCAACCGTCTCCGCAAGATGGGGCAAGCGGCTTTCCTGGGAACCTGCATTGGTGCAGGCCCTGTGGGCTTCACAGCATGGCCTCTTGGAACCTGGCAGGGCCCGTTTTGGACTCAAGGGAGAATGGGCTTTTGACAATTGTCCACGTTC